TTGTAATGCAATTAGATCACACATAATTACACAACTGCTGCCACCATCAGTTTCAAAACATTTTCATTCTTCTTGAATTCCTTTATATCTGCTCCCCTTTATCCTCTCCCTTCCTCACCCTACCCTCCAGGAGCCCTTATTATTATATATGTTAAAAACTATTATTATTATTATTATCATCCATATCTTACACTGTCAAATATATCCATTCACCTACAATTCTGTTATTCATTCCCTGCAGTGGGAATATACAGTCATCATTGCTATCAGCTGCTTCCCCTTCTCCACCCCCACCCCACTTCCTGAATCCTCAGGGAATCATTACTCCCATTATCGTTTCTGGAGGGTTATCTATCTTGCCTTTCATGCATCTATTGATCTTAGTTATACACATGAGCATGTTCATGTCTAACTAGGTTAATGAGGTAAGATAAGAACCATAATAGTGAGGGAAGGAAATACTAAAGAACTAGAGGATAATTGTGTGTTTCATCAATGCTATACCACATCCTGGACTTAACATCCCTTCAGTGTGGCCCTTCTATGAGGGACTGGCCAATTGTCTTTTAGGTGGATTTTGGGCCTCCACTTTGTCCATGCTCCTTCACTTCTATTTGAGTGCTTGTTTGTTCTTTTAACTTATGATACCTATTCCCGTTGACACCTCATGATCACACAGACTGGTGTGCTTCGTCCATATAGGCTTTGTTGCATCCCTGCTAGATGGCCACTTGTTTTATTTCAAGTCTTTAAGACTCCAGACACTGTATTTTTTAATATCCAGGCACCATCCTCTTTCTTCACCACATTTGCTTATGCACCCATTTTGTCTTCCACACTTGTGTAGGGAAGATGAGTATCAGGAACAGTACAAGCTGTTCTTGTACTGAGGTAAGATTTGAGTAAAGGACCAAAATCCATCTGCTTCCTTGATATACATCAAGGAATATAGATAGATAGATAGATAGATAGATAGATAGATAGATAGATAGATAGATAGACAGATAGATATAGATAGAGAGAAATATGCCTATATTTATATATTAACATATCAATTTATCCCTATATATAATTTTTACTTTCTTCTACCTCCTTCCTCTTTTCTTTCTTCTTTCTTCCTACCCCACCATCATGCTGACGTGCTGTTTATCTCTCTGTAGTCCCTCTCTCTCGTATATGTTTCAATGATCAAGTACAACCAGGAATGCTACACCCTCCTCACCATTTGATTTAGTACCCTTGCTATTCCCCTGTCCCTGGGGTTGTTGACTCACTATTCCCCTCCCCACACTTCATCCCCTCCCAAACCCCACTGAACAATTGGTCACAGTCACATCACTGTCTCCATGGGCTTGTTTATCCTGCCTGTCTTAAACAGATAGACACCCAAAGGAGAAAAAAATAAAATAAATAGGTTAAAAATGTGCTGAATAATAAATAGGTAAAGATGTGCTGAAAGACATCTTTTCCCACTTCTCATATGCCTTTAAGGCCCACAGAGGAAGGTGAGGGGGAAAGGTGGCAAGGGGGGAGCAGGGCACTAATCCACCCATGGGAGGGTATTTTTTATGTCTTCACAGGAAAGGGAGAAAGAGAGAAGACTTCATTCTGGTGCAGCAATCCTGAAGTGCAACATCCCTGCATGGAGCAGCTGGTTAACAGAGAGGACTGCAGGGCCGACCCCAGCTCAAGACATGACGCCCCTCTGTCCCTCCCTAGATGACAGTGCTACAGAGGACAACACTAAAGACAGACTGGGGAGAGTGGCCGGTCTGTCTGACCCACGTAGGAACAAACAAGAGGGGAGTGCAACAGACCAGCAATGGGCGCAAAGCCATGAAGCTCCTGGGGAACCCCGATTATGGACCTCAGACTGGGGGCCAGAGTGGGACACCACATCTGAACTCATCTGAACTGGTTGGAGGTTACTCACAAGGGGGACACACTGAAAGTCTAAAGGTGGAATTGGGGGGTTGGGGGGGCGTTGTTGAACAGCACTAGACCACTAGCTCCCTCCCTGACAGCAGGAAGAGCATTGAGGACTGATGGAAGGTGCACCCTTCTCCACGAATGCTGAGGACTAAAAGGGTGTCGGTACTGTTGGGTAGGCGGGTCCTGGGGTACTGAACCCGGAGAGAAATGGGGACTGGACGGATGGATTATAGCAAGTCCTCCTCCCTGTTTAACCAAGAGATACTCATCTACTCTGGGACAGGATATCAACTAGACATGGAACCATTTACATGGTTTTTCTTCTTTTTTTAAACCTATTTATTTATTTTTTTCTTTTCTTTCTTCCATCTTCTTTTAATGCTTCCTGTACTGTTGAACATGTTGCCCATCGAACCTTTCCATTTTCCAACACAAAGCTTGAATTTTTTTCTTCATTTCTTTCAACTTGGTATACACTGACCATGTGCTTCCTTTTTTTATTTTCTAACTCTGGGCCTTTGCACATGTCAGTACAGTGCGTTGTCTTCTCAAGCTGCTCTTCAAAAACTTCTGTTCAGCTCTTCTACTTATTGGTTTCTTTCCCATGTACTTTAGCTACTCTACCATCACAGACAGCATTGTACTTCAAGATACATCTCGAAATGTCACCTTCTTGGTGAGGGATGAATGCCCTGCCTCTTGAATTTGTCATACCCAGTAGAGTGAACAGGAGCCCTGGTGCTGTGGTGGCTAAGAATTAAGCTGCAATCAGCAAAGTCAGCAAGTCAAAACTACCAGCCACTCTGCGGGAGAAAGATAGCCTCTCTACTCCCATCGAGAGTTACATCTGCATCATTGTGGTCAACTCATCTTTGAGCGGGCAGCTCTTCTTCAGCCACATTTTGAATGCCGTCAGCCTGAAGGGCTCATCTGCCGGCACTGTGTTTAACAGTGTTCTGTTGCTCTTCATGAAGGTTTCATTGTCTGACAATGTTCAACTGCTTCTCATAAACTTTTCAGTGGCTAATTCCTCAGACGTGGACAGCCTAGACCTTCTTCATTGTCTGTTCTTAGTCTGGAAGCTCGGCTGAAACCTATTCACCAAGCTTGCTAGTATTTGAAATGCCTGTAACATAACTTCCAACATCACAGCAGCACATAAGCCACCATGGTACGGCAAACTGACACACAAGTGGTGGTTATGATGACTTGGGCATCAGTTTCAGGACTGTGAAAGTTGTGAAATTGTCCCCACCCACAAGGGAACAACAAGTGATCCAAAATCGATGGCGAGGAGGGTGTAGGAGGCCTGGTAGGGCTTGATCAAGGGCAATGTAACCGAGAGGAATTATTGAAACCCAAATGAAGGCTGAGCATGATAGTGGGACAAGAGGAAAGTAACAGGAAATAGAGGAAAGAGCTAGGAGGCAAAGGGCATTTATAGACGTCTAAATATAGGCATGTACATATATAAATACATTTATATATGAGGATGGGGAAATAGATCTATGTGCATATATTTATAGATTTAGTATTAAGGTAGCAGATGGACATTGGGCCTCTACTAAAGTACTCCCTCAACACAAGAACACTTTGTTCTATTAACCTGGCATTCCATGATGCTCACCTTCCCTCCATGATTGCTGAAGACAAAGCGAGTGCATAAGCAAATGTGGTGAAGAAAACTGATGGTGCCTGGCTATCAAAAGACATAGTGTCTGGGGTCTTAAAAGCTTGAAAATAAACAAGCTGAGAACCAACAAAGCCCACATGGAAGAAGCACACCAGCCTGTGTGATCATGAGATGTCAATAGGATCAGGTATCAAGCATCAAAGAACAAAAAAATCTTATCATTGTGAATGAGGGAGAGTGCAGAGTGGAGACCCAAAGCCCATCTGTAGGCAGCTGGACATCCCCTTACAGAAAGGTTGTGGGGAGGAGATGAGCTAGTCAGGGTGCAGGATAGCACCAATGAAACATACACCTTTCCTCTAGTTCTTTAATGTTTCCTCCCCACCCACTATCATGATCTCAGATTCTACCTTACAAATCCGGCTAGATCAGATGATGTACACTGGTACAGATCAGAGCCGGAAACACAAGGAATCCAGGACAGATAAACCCCTCAGGACCAGTAATAAGAGTAGCGATACCAGGAGGGTAAAAGAAAAATGATGAGTGAAAGGGGGAAACCGATCACAATGATCTACATATACACCCCTACCTGGGGGACAGACAACAGAGAAGTGGGTGAAGGGAGACATTGGTCAGTGTAGGACATGACAAAATAATAATAATTTACAAATTATCAAGGGTTTGTGAGGTAGAGAGGGTGGGGGAGGGAGGGGGGGAAATGAGGAGCTGATACCAAGGGCTCAAGTAGAAAGAAAATGTTTTGAGAATGATGGTGGCAACAAATGTACAAATGTGCTTGACACAATGGATGAATATATTGATTGTGATAAGAGTTTGTATGAGCCCCCAATAAAATGATTAAAAAAGAAAGAAAGAAAAAATTAGCCCTGACCTACCTCTGTCACAAGGCTACTACTGAAAGCCTGGGGTGAATCAGCACCCCCAGGGACGTCCAATGGCCATGGCCATCCACCCAGAGCAGCACTCCAGGTCACTTGCCCTTTCATCTCTCCTTCTTCTTCTGTTACGGCACGCTGCTCTCTCAGCAAGTGAGACCTAGCTGAGAGAGCACCACAGGATGACTTCACCGGTAGATTTCCATTAGGGAGGACGCAGTTTCCAACCACCCAAGTGTGTCAAAGAAACCTGGTCCCTGAAGCACTTCTGCAGACCTAGAATACTTAACTTAATCAATGTGAAAAAGGAAGATGAGGGGGGGAAAGAAGAAAACCCTAAGGCACAATTTTTAGGGCTTCCCATCATTCCTCATAGACCCAATAATAACTCTTTAACAACTAGAAACCGAAAAATGTCCATTGTGGTCACATAAGCAGGCCATTCTTTTAAATGAACACATGATGAACTCGTGGCACTAAGTTTTAAGTACAAAGACAAACAGCTGGAATGAATCATATAAATTGTTTCTATTGTTAAACGTTCATGAAATAAAACAAAACCTTACCTGCCATGCTTCAAAGTCAGGTATATATGCACAGGTGTTTCCTGGGATATACGGACCATAGCCTTCTTCACATTTGCTTAGCTGATCCAGGGCGTAAGCCATAGCGTACACAGCTTGTTTGACATTGTTTGTAATTCTTAGCTGTGACACATCCAGGTAGGTATTTTTAAGATCCTCCAACTTCTCCTCTCCGGTACAGAATTGATCAGACATGGCATATAATCTGTCCCCTTTTCCAGTCATATTCATTCGGTGGTCGACGTTGTAGGGAACACTGCTATTGGGCCAAGTACAGTTAAAAGCGGTTTGCCAGAATTCAATGGTCAGGACGTCGTCTGGGTCCTTGCTAGGATGTACATCATAAAGGAATTCTTTCAATCCTGGTATATCAGCTCTTGGTATTGCAAATCCAATACTTCCACCAAAATATGGGAAGTACTCAGGCTTTGCAATGAGGGCTGAGGTGATCCAGGCCTCGCTTGCGATCCATGTTCGGTCAGTTATGTTATGATAAATGATTTCCAGCACAAACGGGCTGAGATCAATATCAGATGCAAAAAGCACAATGACTCTGGCATTTTTATTTGCCTTTATAGAATCAATCGCTTGTTGCATTTTCTCATAGTAATAGATTTTGGGGATGACTTCAGAAAATGCAATACAGACAGAGGTAGACTCAACTTCTTCCTTAAAAATTTTTACTCCATATTTTCCATAATCATCATCAGTTGCTATGGTGCCTACCCAGACCCAACCAAAGTGTTGAATGAGTTTTACCATGGCTTTGGATTGGGCGGTATCACTGGGTATGGTGCGAAGATACGTTGGAAATTGGTATTTGTCACTAAGAAGGGAGCAGGTAGAGGCATAGCCCACCTACAAGGGAAAACAGTCAAGCAATTATTACAAAACAATATCCCAATTTTAAATCACACAACCCTTGAGGATTTGTATTGGAAAGAAGCAAACTTCAAGTTTACTTCTCCTTCTGTGCTCACATCAGTCTTTGGACAAAAGAGCTTCCACTCCTGTCGCTACTCTGTGGGTGTGACTGTTGATGGCAACACTCTGCATGCCCCACCCTCCTCGACCAGGGCATCCCAAGGGAGCTGGAGGAGCCAACGACTAAGAGGATGGCATCCAGTTTGTGAGCACCACTGCATAGCTTCCCATCCATACAGACCATGGAGTGAGCCTCTGTGTGGCAGGCTCAGTTCTCTCTCTCCGTTGTCCGACTCTCTGGTTCTCTCCCTGTCTGTAACTCTGTCATCTTCTACCTCTATCTCCTTCAACCTCTGCTTCCTCTCTCTCTCTCTCTCTCTCTCTGCCAGAACTTCTGAGTACATAGGTCCCAAAACTTAGCTTTTGAAAGGTGTTAGGGAGTTTTATTTCTGCCTCAGCCTTGAACCAAGTTCTCTGTTACTAGAAACTCTAATTTTAGAGGAACTTGCCTAGATGGATAAAGATGTACTTTTGTCTTCCTGTGGCCAATGATCCTTGACTATGTTTTCCACCAGTGAGAAATTAAGAAGGGGAGGAGGGGTAGCCAGTACCATGAATTCCTTGATGGTCGTCCATGCATTTCTGCTGCAGCTTACGCTCAACTTCACTGACTCTCCAACTAAAAGCATTTCCCCTCTGCTCTGGCCTACTCCCGTGCCGTGTGTTAAGACGTCACCTGCTACAGGGCCTCCTATATAAAAATTCCACATAGACCGTCAATTTCTCATTAAAAAAAAATTTAGCCACTGCTTTCAAGAGAATTCTCACTCATTCAAAAAACAAAAGCCCTATCTCATTGCTATAGAGCTAATGCCAACTCATAGCGACTCTGTAGGGCAGTGTGGAACTGCTCCTGTGCGTTTCGGAGACTGGAACTCTTGATAGGAGTAGAAAGCCCCATCTTCCTCCCCACAGCACCACCAGCGCACCGTAGTTCCTTACTAAGTGCCAGAATATTCTTATTACTCCTTTCTCTAGTCCTTCTCTGATTCTCACTCCCACTGCCTGCAGTTTGGCTTCTCCTGTGAACCCACTCTAGCGGTGACTCAGGGAAATAATACTCGGATGAGGAGAGAATCCAATTTAGAAAACAGAGACACTTGAGTTCTAATTCTGACTCCGGAATCATTAGTGTGTGACCTTCGATGAGTCCCTTAACCCTTCTGAACCTTCATTTCCAATTGGAACCAGGGTCATCATACCTACATTGTAAGGTGGCTCAGCATATTGAATAAGATAACTAGTTCGAAAGTGTCTCCTATAGAAAATTCACTTTATCACCTTTGTGGATTTACTACAAGGATTTAATGAGAAAAGCGACCCAGAGTGTTCCAGCCAGTGTCCGGCTCAGAGTCAGCGTTCAGGAGAAGATAGCACTTCCAGCAGCAGCACTGGGGCTCAGCAGGTGGGGCTCACACCTGAGATGTCCGTTGTGTCAGCCAAGCCCCTTTCTTGGTTCTGTTTCTCACTATTTTCCGGAAAACATTTGCATTTGCAGCTTTATCAAAAACATTATGTAACTGCTTCTTACAATGACCTCAAAGTCTCACGTTACTTCAGTAGCACAAACAAGCTTAACATCATTCACATTGATACTTTATTGAACCATCCTTAAAATGACTATGGAGCTATTTCATGCTTTCTTATTAATGCATTCTCCCAAATATTAACTGTAATTGTGTTGAAAGGTGTCACTATCTTCGAATTTAAAATAATCTGTAAAGTTAGCATCCCCACGCCCTCACCATCATGTTCAATTCCTTGCTTGTGGTAGTAGGCTGGTGTGAACTTAAAAGGTCACGAATAATAAGCATTAATATACGATAAAGCCAAAATAAATTCTTTATAACATTTATCAAGCAATCAAAAAACATATACTGAACATCTATCTACTCTTTGCTTCATATAATTCTACTGTCTTAAAAAAACAAGGTTGCTGTCAAGTGATTCTGGCTCATGACAGACCTGTCACAGAACAGAACTACTTCATAGGGTTTTTGCGGCTGTAATCTGTATAGAAGCAGACGGCAAAAACCTTCTATCCATTGAGCTGCTGGATATATTCAAACTACTGCAAGCCTTTTGGACTCCCAGGGACCTGCTGTAGTGTGGAACAGGGGTGGTTCTACATCGTTCCATACGGTCACTGTGAGTTGGCATCGACTCAATAGCGGTGAGGGACCTGCTACTGTCTGTAATGCCTAGTGTAATGTCAACACACTAGTTAAAACCCCCAGCAAAAAAAACTGAAACGAGATCCTTAAGGGATGTAGAAGAGGCTCAAGGTACTCCCAACCTCAAAAGACCACTACCATCAAGTTGATTCTGATTCCTTGTCACCAAGGATTTGTAGACTTCATGGTAGCAGATAGATTCCTCTTTGCCCCTCAGAGCATCCTTGTGGATCCCAACCGGTTGGATAATAATCGAATGCTCACCCAAAAGGGCTCAAGCCACTCCAAAGTAGGCATCAATTTAATCTTGATAAGGCCTGGCTGGGGCATCCCTGGGGGGTGCGAATGGTGATGCCCTTACTACTGAGCCCAAAGGTGGCAAGTTCAAATGCACTAGGAGGCATCTCAGGAAAAGAGCCTGCCAATATACTTCTGAAAAATTAGCCATTGAAAACCCTACAGAGCGCAGCTCTACTCTGACACACATATGAGGTCACCCCGAGTTGCAGTTAATGGTTGCTTTGAGTATACTTGCTTTTGAGGCTGAATAAACAGTGTTAGCACCACCATGCCTGTCTGTCGCTGCAACTCAATCTTGCCTCCCCTGAGCACCTTCATGATTTGCTACCTCCCATAAGCATGGCTTGCATTTCTTTCTAAGTTAGTACCCAGCCCAGTGTTCTGAGATACCTGAGGTATATAATAGATCCCTAGAATTCTGGAGGCAGCAATGGATAAGGATGAGCTTCCTGCTCCGATCATCCCTGCCAGATAGGCTCCAGTGCTGTTTCTAAAATTGGGCTTGTTTTCTTCCTGGCCGGTAAGAAACACCAAAGCCGATTCCACAGACTTGGAGATGGCAAAACAGTTATCAAAGATCTGGTAGCCTAAAGTGGTGTTGGGTAAAATATCCTTCCTCTCATTAATCTCCTTGATGGTGTGGATCATGGTTTTCAGCCAGCGGAATCCTCGGAAGTTAAACCTGCAAGGGAAATAGCTCTCGTAAGGCCTCGTCAGTGTGCTGGCCTTCTCAGAGAAAAGTCGAGCTGAGCTGGCGTGGGGATGGGTTCATTTTACCAACCACCAACAGACATCTCTCTCCTCTGGAGCGTGGTAATAGTTCACACATGGAATCTCAAGCTTGGATGATTCAAGCATGAACTATATTCAGTATCAATTGGTTTGGGGTGTGAAGAAGCACCGTGTTGGAATTGTTCATATATATACATATATATGTTGATATATAGTCCATATGATATAATCCCCCAAAATGGCTGATTACTTCATTTCACAAAAATTTCTTATATTCATAATGGTCTCCACCACACTAGACACCCAGTAATTGCTCAATCCATTTCCCACCATACAGTGGAAGTCCCTGAAGCCGCAGGTCCCTCTTCTTTACCTTCTCAGGGAGAAAGATGGGACTTTTTACTCCCATCAGTAATTACATCTCAGAAACTCACAGGGGCAGTTCCACCTGACCTATAGGGTCACTGAGTTGTCAAGTCCATGGCAGTGAGTTTGGTTGGTTGGTTGGTTGGTTGGTTTTAACCGTCTTACCTACTTTCCCCGGTGATGTAGTGATACCCATCGGGCTGCTAACTCAAGGCCAGCAGTTTGAAACCAACAGCCGATGCTCGGGAGAAAGGTGAGGCTCTCTGTTCCCGTCGAGAGTGACAGTCTCAGAAGGCCACAGGGGCGTTCAGCCCTGCCCTATCGGGTGCCATGAGTCAGAAGGGACTCGACAGCAGTTGTTTTGGTGGGTTTTTTTCCATTACCTTTGTTTTCTTCTTGGGCCTTAAATCATAAAAATTGTTCATATACAGGAATGTTTATTATAAGACTAAATAAAACCAAAACATGATATGAGAGGACTATAAAACGTTCATGGAATTTTTTCTATTATCTTATAATTCCATTTTTCCATGGATTTTTTGAAGCCCTCTCATATATACTGTGATTCTAATCGCATAATTTTTCCTGCCATGATTTGTGAATACCGAGAGATTTTTTTAATTGGAAAATGTTCTGCTTCCTTTTCTTCTCACAGACTGTCATAAACAAAATGCCTCTTCCCTTCCCTTCCCACCAAAAGAAGAAAACATTTCTCTTGTGGTTAGTTCGTCATTACATTTTTTCCATTAAACAAAATTATAATCTCAATTCTTTTTATTCTTCTCAGCTTTAACCAGACTTCAACTTATTCTACAAAAAAAAAAAAGGACTCCGTGTCATTTTCCCTCTTAATATCTTCTGTAGTTAGAGCATTATGTAGCCCATGTTTTATGCTGAATAAATCTTGTTGCATGAAATGTCTAATAGCCTTGTTGACAGATTGTACCCACCCACCGCCATTTCTCTTTAATGGCGCTTCCCAGGGAGTTGAGTCTTTCATTTGGCATGTCGTTTCTGAGTCCTACTGGTGCTGCACACGATAAACACGACAGTGAACCAGTTAGGCCCTGTCTATAGGTAGAATCAGAAAGGGAGCCAGACACTTGCAGCACAAAGCTGTAAGTACCATGATCGGGACAGACATGGGGCCTCTGGGTACAAAGGAGGACCACTTAACCCTGACGGGTTCAACAGCCAAGCTGCGGTTTGAGCAGGGGAAGGAGGGTGTAGGTGAAAGAAAGGTGTGTGCGAAAGGCAGGCAACAAGAGAACATGAACCATTCAAGGAATGGAAGACAAGTATTTTGGAGACTGGGAGTTGGTGACCGGAAAGGAAAGCGGATGTTGGAGAACTGAAAGAGATCAGGAAGTGTCCTGTCACCCTCAAACACTTGTTTTCCAAATTTACACAGCTGGCAGTATTAGCATGTGTACAAATGCATGAAACAAATATGGCAGGATCTTTTTCAAAGAAACATAGCAGTGCATTTCAAGAGCTAAAAAATTTTTTAAATGCACACCTGCTTTGATCCACTACTTACACTGCTGAGAACCCATCTGAAGAAACCAGTCTTCCCCAGAGAAAAAGCTGAAAGCTGTCTGCCCCAAACAGTTTATTGAAGAATTATTCATAACACTGAAAATCAGGAAAGAACGAGGCTGCCCAGGAAGAATAAACTGCGGTGCATTGACGTGATGGGAACATTTCTGTCATTAAAAACTATAACCTGAGAAACTGCAGTTTTGTGCACATCATATTAAGTGAAGCAGGCAGTAGGCAAAGTTGTTTCTACATTATGACTAAAAATACATATAAAATTTATGAACAAGGGTTCATGAGGGAGGGGGGC